GCTACGCCAACTCACAACTATATTCACAGACACTCACGTTACCCAGATGAAACTAGGTACAACCATCAAATCACAAATCTCTAATTCGGGAACTATCTCGCTCGTTATAACTACAATCGTTGGTTCAATCATATGAACACGCAGATAATGAGGTGACCCGTTATCCCAAAGAAATGGAACTTTCTCACCCGTAGATGTCTCCAACACGCCTTTAGAAGCTCCGCAAGGCCGCAAGTGTGTTGACTTCTTTAAATGTTGCATAGCTGGTCTTCTTCTCTAAGCAAGCAGTAGAAACGTGGCATGAAAAACAGATGACTGCGTGCCCCTTTTTCATCCGCGTCAGTGACAGGTCGTTCTTTTGGATTATTAGATGGTTTCCCATCAAATCCCACTTCTGATGAAGGCACCGGGGGGTTGGTACAAACATCAACATCCCGATCATCGTCTTCACAGTCCATCGTAGGGCGTAGGATTTTATAATCAGACCGAATAAATTACAAAAATAACGGACGTCGGCGATCCGTCTCCTATGACAGTCACAGCGCTCGCTCTCCAACATAATGCGCACGCAGAACTGCCAGTTTGACGTTCCGCCAGAGTACGATTTATGGTACCCTCGTCCGATGAATTGTGATAAAACCTCCTTCAAAATTTCAATTTAATTAATCGTCGCTTCGACATATGTATATTTTATGAGTATTTAATACTATAGTTTGTTTCTAATATTTATTGAAAATTACGAATTATAATATTTGATTGTAATGTGTTTTGTGCATGAAATAAATAAAATAAAATAAAAGAATTACACACGTGAATCAACTGAGACTAGTTCTACTAATTTAAAATCAGAACTGGACTCTTATTGATGAGCAGCATCGCGTTGTCACGGCGACGCGTACGCCTTGATCCAGACGGTGAGATAATTCTCATGAATTAACTTACCAATATCCAACCAAATTTGCCAGATTTACTTACTTCTGAAACATGAAATTTCTTTTTCTAGGTATGGTGTTTTGTCAGTAAGTCTACAACTCTCGTTCCACCCAGCACAGGAAAAGCCATTATGATTTTCCACGTACAAAAGAGAATTAAGGTTATTTAAATACTAGCTACTTTTGCACGATTTCGCCCGCTGCTCGACTCCATTAAATCGTAGCGTGATGTTTTATAGCCTATACCACTCAGAAACATTTTAGCTGTCTATCAGTAAAAGTATTTTGACATACAAACTTACAAATTTTACCTCTTTATAATAAAGTTATGCTTACATATAAATATAATTGCCATCGCATTTCGTTTACACCTGGGACATTGGTTTATGCATGTCATACTAGTGTGTGCAACATGAGGCTCAAAGGGCTGCACGTGAAAGCAAAGAGTGACGTCACACTTCAGAGGCACTCATTTACATGAAAACAGAAATGTGACGTTACAAAATGAATATAGGAGATCGGGCGTGTTCCATTTTATATTTATTTATAAATATATTAGGATAGATATTATGTTTTTTGGTATTTTGTGAACACTCCATTTTCGCTATAATCTGTGTATACAGTTTATTATGGATGCTAGCTGTATCTTTGTTTATAATTAAGTGCTTTTACATGGTTAGTTTTCTCTATATCGTGGGTTTGTACACAAATGTGCAATTTTAAACACAAATCACACCTAGAGCAGCAATTTGTAAATGACACTTCCGAGATGGTGCGGCTGCCGGACTGTTCCGGCATTGCGTAAACTTTGCAGTCAGAGAATGTATTTTTGATTGAGATTGTGATGAAGTATTTAAAATTTAGTACTACATTAGATAGAGAGAATATTTAAATAAGTTTTTTTATACTTACCATAATTACTTCAGCAGCTAAGGAGAGTAAGAATGAAAATAAACAACATATATATATTTGCCGATAAGCAAATTTATTCCAAGAAGTATTACACATATCTTAATAATTACGATATGTCAAGAAGTCTTTGAAAAATCACCAAAATGATACAATTTTGTAACAAAACTTAACATTTAGAAATATTTAAATTTTAAAATATAATATATAATTAAATAAATAAATTGTAATAATTGTATGACAATAATTTAAATAAATATATGATATTGGAAACAGTTTTTATAGTCTGTAACAATAAAGTTTTTTGTACGATAAATGGTGTTCTGAATTTTATTACTCAAATAAAATTTCGAGACCTACATATATATATGAATAGGAATGCATTTTATGTCATCATCCTGTAAGTGATGTAGCTGGCAACCACATTATGCTGTCAGGAAACGAAAAGTTATTACATTTTTATTTTATATTACTTTCATTTTAATGTTTGAATTTAAATTTTCGTTTTATATTTATGAATTTATGATTGACTTTATAAGAAATGTAATAAATATATCAAAATGATATTGATTGATTTTTGAAATATTATTATGATTTTATAGATATTATTACAGTCTATCAAAACGCTTCTATATTTTATATCAATTTGATACAATCAGAAACTTTTACCAAGATAAACTTTTTATAATACAAAGTGTAATAATCTTCAATAGATAGTAATTGTTTCTGATTGTAATTATTTTAAATAACATTCAATAAAATAGAAATGGTAAGTCAAACTTTAAATAAAATAATATTGCAAATAAATTAGCGGAATCGATTAACATTCATTTTTATATTTATAATTTTCCTTCACATATAAGTTAATACTATTTACAATGCACAAATTCTTCTATAGTATTTCATCAGGGTTTTTGAATTTTACCCTAAAACCGAAAACGCACGTAATAATTAAATTACTTATTTACACTTATACAAAAATTATGAATGTAATTCATAATTTAGAGAGTTATAAATTTTATAGCATCACAGTGTATTCATTAAATTATTTTTATTTATAGAAATTCAAAGTTCAATTATAATTATTTACCTATAATCTAATTTACATTGAATTTGTGATTTACGATAGATACATATGTATGTATTAAGGAAAAATGATTTTATGTTTTGTACGATAAAACGAGATATAAATACCTATTAAAACTGATTTTGTGTCTTTTTAAATAAGGTATTGTTTAAATTGCATTTTGTATTAAAAAAAATTATATATAAATTAAAAATAAATTAATACTAAACTTAGTTGTTAAATAAAATAGTTTGCTAAAATGTAGATTTTCAAAATAGAATAAAATGTGTGTGTGTGTGGGTGTGTGAACAGAATAAGTCACGTAGTCCGGAGGAAATATTTCCCTCTATCTTTGTATCCTTAGAGGTATTTACATTCCATATTCCGAGTGTCGACGACACGGAAAAACTTCCTGAAGGAAATATGATTAAGAATCCTTAAGAGGGTCGAATAGGCCATAACTTGTGTACACTTACTCGGATTCTATGTACTCAAACTGAATGTACTTTTATGAGTTTCTAGTCCACTATATCGAACATATTATTTTATAAGTTTAAAATATTTATTTAAAAAGATTTTATATTTGCTTTTATACTTCCTCCGCTATCATTGAATAAATATTTAAAATAATAAAACTATATAAATAACAAGTTTTATTGTCTACATTCCATTCAAAACTATATAATTATTCCGTTAACACAGTGATTCCATACAAAATCAATACAAACCTCATATTCATAAACAATTGTAACTTTACCAACATTTTATAATTCATGATATTTAATTATAATAATAACATTATTGAGCCAGTTTCAGAAAGTATAAAATATATTTACAATTTGAAACTTTATGGACAAAAATATATCATTTTATAAAATTTTCTACAAAAAATTTAATTATATATAAAAAAGAAAATTGTGTTTTATATAAATATATAATAACATTATTTTAAGAATTTAATAAATACAATTATGTTAATATAATTTCTGTGTAATAAAACCAATACTATATAATTTATATTATGTCAAGGAACATTTAGGTTCTTATATGTTTGTCAAATAAAATTGAAACTACACATATTTTAAGAAGGACACTTAGTTTTAGGGAAAACAGAAATAATGAACACATGCACAATGTGGGGTGTACATACAGAGATTTCTTTTTAATTTACTAATTTCCAACAAAATGTTTTATTCCTTTTTACCTATATAATTTTCCGCATTGTTTATCAAATAGGACAATAAAATGTTGAGCTAACAATGATTACAGTTTAATATTTTTTTATGTGACAATCCCGCCGCAACCTTTCAAAACCGGTGCAACTTCTGTAAACCAGGATCTGTGAGCTGCTGCAGTGAACATTTTAATAATATTCTATCTATTTTTTTCAACCATCGCGAGACAAATTTGGCGACTCAACGTGAACGCTAAAACAGCGTTCCATCGTGACTTGCAACTAGTAGAGATTTGAACTGATTGAAAAAAGAGTAACCATGGAGGTTCTTGCTCGTTCTTCTCAATTGAATTCTACACTTCAAATAACCTAATAGCTTTAATGAAAGGATTGATCGAAAGACTGGCATTTTTTAACTTAAAATGTATCTGATATTGAAAAGTGGCTATATAAAGGTCACAATTGATATAAGTGATTTTTTGTTCGAAAATTGTTATTTTTGATACATAAAAAAAGGTTGTATGAATTTTTACGTTCATCTGGCAATTTTAAATATATTTATAATATTAAATTCTTTACGTATGTACTTTTAAAAAGATAATCCTGTCTTCGACGTTGGCTGTACTTTATTATAACAAAATATGTATACCTAGTAAAAATAACCAAAAGCTACTTATCATTATTATTTTTATCGTATTTTACCTTTTTTATTCTTGGATTTTTTTATCATAGTATGTTTTATATTTGGATTTGTTCATTTATTTCAATAAATTCGTAGGTTATATTTATTTTGTAATATCTGAAATTTTATTTCGAGAAATGTAAAATTAAAATGTATATTCAAAAACATTCCTTATTTAATTTGTTCAAGCAAAATTGGACTTTATTTATATATAGTCAAAAAGGAATAAAACATTTTGAGTTATGTACTTATATACACTATTTGTATACTGTCAGTAGTAATACATATTATGTATAACCTATTACAGAATAATTGCAGTTTTCAGAACATTTAATTATACTTACATATAGATATTTTTAGATAGATATATCTCTTTTTGAAAGTGAATATTGACTATAAAACGAACATTTTGTTTAATTTACATTTATTTTTGTGTCAAAGGGAACAAGTTTAAACAGTCTTTCACAATTTCCTTCGATGTATGTACAAAAATATCAATCGTTAATATTCGACAAATATATTAGGATATCGAAACAAGAAAACATTCTGCTACTAAAACAGTATAAAAACAAAATGTAATACAAAAACATACATACAAAACTTATTTTATAAAGTATATTATAGTATCGTCTTGTGTAAGAAAAAAACAGAAAGATACAAAAAAATACCTGGAAAAAATTGTCCTGGCGAAAACCAGGTACTTACAAAAACTAATGTTGTAACGTTTTAAATAAACATTAAGACGTATCACAGACCTATATCTAAATAGTAAAAAATATTCTAGAAAATAAACGTGCAACATGATCCCTTTGACTCAATGCCCTTATTCTATATAATTCAGCCTAAACACAACTTTCCCTAGCATTTGCTAGCAACGGCGTTCTAGTTGTGACGACTTCTCTCCGCCTAGAGAACGTCCCGCTTGTCACACTTCGACGATCTTCTGCCAAGGTTCCGATGCTCTAGTTTAAAAATAAAATTTATTTGAGAAAAAAATTAAAAAAGGAATATTTAAGGGACAATGTTGCAATCACACATATGTGACGTTAGATTTTTTACCAATTTTTTTATTAAATAAGCTCTGAAATCGTGTTGTCTTGCAAATTACGTAACCTGTTAAAAAAGTATTGTAACATTCTTGAAATTAAAAATAAATTCTACTCGATCAAACATAGCCAAAACCGTCAAAAAACCAATACCATAATCATAAAATTTAAAAGATAATCTGTTTATTTCACCAACCCGGCAAAAATGTTGAAAAGAAAAATATAACTCTTAAGTAAATTCGTGTTTAAAATAACTCTCAACGCTAATTAGGGTTTCAACCTCTAATTAATAATTACTCGCGATCTAAAATTGCTTATCGCGCTTAATTTAAAATTAAATACGATCTTTCTGGTAGAGGTTAAAAAACAAACCGTTAATTTACGGGAATAATCTCACCGGAAAGGTTATTGCAAAAAGACCAGGTTGAAAATAGATTTACTGAAAAAGTTATTCGAAAAAAAATCTGTCAATTAGTTTATTATTTGTATAAAATGTTTCGATCGATGTTACGAGTACTCACATGAGCATCAGACGCAGGTGTGATCGGTGTGTGTGGCGTGACAGGCCGCACGTCATGATGATGCAGGCTGTTCGAACTACGTGAAGATCCCACAGGAGGAGACATCACTGTCCCATAAGGCGGAGGCTCTGGGGGCCGCTCTAAGTCTCGCGCACTGTTGAAATCTGATTAATGGAACAAATGATTGATCAATCAAAGTTTTAAAACTTTTAAAATGCAAGTTACATTAAAATTATAATAAAAAAAGAATTTTTATCTTGATAAAGTGGTCAGTGATCAATCTAAACTTAAGAATTACATTAAAACTTTTCTTTTGGACGTGGACTTTATGTGACTATGCATTGTGTTTTAGTAACAAACAAATGGAAAACCAAGAGTGAAATATTTGTCTATAAAGTACTTTAGACCATTTCAACTACAGATCTTTTCAATTTGGTAAATTGAAAGTAAATTTACAAAAAGTGATATGTTACTTTTAATCTGAAATAAAAATGCTAAAAATGAAACAGTAAACAGTAACAAAAAGCGGACAAAACATGTTTCGATGAATAAAATCGATCTACCTATATTACCTTTACCCAGAGGCACCACATCAGGATTTTTATCGTCAGGCTGAACCGGAGAATGGTTTGTGCTTTGTATCGCGCCTTTGTACGCCTTCACCGTCTGCATAGGAGCTAAAATAAAGTAAAATAAATTATAGTGAATAGTGTGGTATACATCGCACGTCCAAAGGTGAACTGTGAACGTGAAATTGGTTTAAAAATATTGAAATCGACTGCACATCAATCATTCTTTAATGGGGTGAAGACTGCTTTGTGAGGGTTCTAGTTTGCACCGTCTTTGTTGACGACGAGGTCGGACAGAGGGCGCAAAGTCAAACGAGTAGTTCGACTCCGAGTGCATCGGATAGATTACAAGTCCATCAACGAAGCCAAATCTTTTGAAGTACACGAATCTGATGCATTGACTGCCTGATGTACAGACGTATCTGTTAGTCCACTGATTTCTATCATGCATCAACATAATTAATCGGCGAATACTCATCCACTACCCGTTCAACTACTTATCTTCATGTATTTTAGTGAAGTGAATAAACTAAAGTTTAATCGATATCGATGATTTCAGTGTCGATGTAACGATATGATTGTCTGACACGACATTTAGAGCTCAGGTCCTAAATTCACCTGGCACTAGGCTGGCACAACGAATGTTTTTCTCGATATAGGTAAATGTTTTTATTGCACCATATTTCTTAAAGGCTATTATTTCTGTGAAAACGTTTGTTGCTTACAAAGTTTTCGAACATAACTTTTCATGCTCGCGAATTCTAACAATAGCAGCTTTTTATACTAAATCTTAATAGCTAAAGGCAAGGAAAAGAATAAATCATTCTGATTATTACAAAAGTAGGTTGTGGAAATCGAATGCTAATAAGTGCCTTTTCAATACGTATCGATTTATGAGAACGCTATTTATGAAAGTGGAACAGTTTTCTGAGAGCATAATGCCTTACTATAAAATTACAGTATAAACACTCTAGCCCCACAAGTGTTGGTGTGTAGTGATTTGAGCAAATCTGAGTAGATTCGTAATTATCTTGACAATATTAGATACATTGAAAATGTCAAATATAACCAGGATACACGTTATGAAAATTATATGAGACGTCACGTCAAGTCTGTGTTATTTACAGTCACAGGCTTGTCTCGTGTTTGTCTCCATTAATATTATTACTGCGGGACGAATGAAGTGGTTGCATGACATTCTAACCATCTTAGAACGAGCTATGTCTGTTCGTCACTGTTCCTCTGTTGACGGAGTGGTTAGAATATTTGTTCACATAACACGTGGCTCCCGCTCGACTGTTGGCATAGTCAAGGTTGCCATTCTACGCGTGTTTGTATAGGGAATATGCTGAGTTTATGCTCTGAAGTAGTTGTCGGCGTTTCAATTTTCGGATGATAGGATATTCTAGGAAAATGTTGGGCGGCGTGTTGTGTTATAAACTTAAGGTAATAAACGGATTATAGATTTTAGGGTTGGCAGTCCCGATGTTGTAAATATCAGCCTGAATGTATTAACATTGTAAACGAAAGAACACCCTACAGCCCAATAAAAAATGGAAAGAAGCAAGAAATAAAATATTCCACAAGTTAATAAACCAACCAATCTCGTTACTGGGAACTGTAAACATTACTCGTAAAACATTCATTTCGCAAATATCACGTAAAAGTATCATTACAGGGAACAAGCAGTCAAAAGTCTGAAAGACAATTTATTTAATAATATAGAAACTTAATAAAGATGTCGTCGTCGCCGTCCATCGGCAGACGGAACATCTGCAATTTCATTCCAAATGCAAAAGGACATAAATCACATTTCAAATGCAGTGAAGCCCACAGCCGGGCCGTCCGAGGCGTTCAAAAATTCCAGTCACGCGACAGAATCCACCGCTATTCGCCAGTAAACCTGCCCAGCGAAGCAATTTCGATTTATTTGTGGTCGAAGGTACGAACCTCTATATTGCTTTTATATTACCCCGAAAATAATTACCTATCCGAGACATCGATATAAAAAGGCATTAGGCACGTCACTAAAACATAAACCAATTTCACTAAACAAAATTAACGATTTCACTTTCAAATTACGGATTTCAAGTTTGAAAATGTATTATTTTAAGGTGTTACGTATTAAATTATTGTTACATTACGTGAGAATGGCGGAGGAAAATTACTTTGCCACTATCTGGCGACAATTTCGCCGTAAAATTCAAACTTGTGTCGTTTATATTCTAAGTTATAGGCATTGCACACGCCACGGTCTGTTAAATACTATTATTTGTCGGATTCATGGCATCTATCAAAATTGGACACGCTACAATCATGTACACATAAATGATTCATCGACCTCTGTCAATTTGAGCAATCATACTTTACACGAAAATATTTTTTATGCCTCGTTGCATTCCAATTTTCAGTTTGGGTTTCAGGGGAGCCTTCATATTTATTTTCTTGTTATATTCTCTCGATATATGTATACACCCATATATTACTTTTTCATTACGTACAACGTTGTCGATTTTACAAATTTAAATTTGTACATCCCTAGCTTTAAGGTATATTGTACCTTTTTTCGTATAACATTTTGAAAAACAAGCAAAATAAGTACTTAATAGTAATACGTTTTATATATAAATGTCTTTGCATATATTATTTTAAAGTCAATTGGTATTTCTGTTTCACATAGTAAATAACTATTCTTTATAGACCCTTACCTTCATACTGCATGGGTTGGTGCTGTCTTCTCCTAGCCAGAAGAGCAATCACCACAATCACCACAAGAGTCCCAGCAATACCGGCGATTACTCCGAGAGCCCAACTAGCGTCAACACCAACAGCTTTGCCAGATTTTGCTTCTGTTAGACAAAAATGAAAATAATGTATAGGTTCAACGTTTCATAGTATGATAGAACAATGTTATAGTTTAATTAAAATATAACGAACATTTCGTAGTCTAAATAGTTTTATAAATAAGTAATAGTAAAAAAATTTTTTGATATTATTTTTATTTCAAAATAAAGTAAAATTTCTAAAATGTATTGTTGATTATTATAACTGGCTCCAAAAACATAACCAAAGAATATTTTTTAATTTTTTTTCGTGCAGATCAAAGTTTAGAATCGTTTGACAGCTAAAATAATGAATGAACGTACAAATAATGAAGAATGATTTATTCGCTACAATATTTTTTAACAATAATTTATTTCTATTTTTGCTGATGATAAACGATGTAAGTCGTCCATTTTGTTTTTTTTCAATTTTATTCATCAATTAATGATTAAATTTAAAAATTATAGTTTCAATTTAATTCTAGAAACAGGCCACGACTATGTAAATGTATTTTAAAATAACAAAATGGTAAGGTAGAATTACTAAATTGACTTATTCCATTAACTTTATAACTGAGTTAAAGTTTTTAAATATCAAAGTTTTAAATTACGTCCACCAATTAGCCTAGTCAATCCAATTTGACGGCAGTTAGATGTAACAAAAAGCTAGAATCTAACCTAGTTTAGTATTCAAAACGAACACAAAGCAAGACTTCACGATTCTGATTAGTTAATTAAGTAACGATACTATTACTTACAATATATAAAAAAAAAACTAAATTTTCATAGTATGGATGATTAGGTTAAATCTGAGAATTTCAAGGAAAAAATTGCTTTCTTTTTTTTCTTTTGCAGCCTTTTTTAGGAACAAAGTTTACAGATAAAATATTAAGTACTCCAATGATTTCAGCTATAATTAATTGGTTGCTATTTTAGCAACCAAAGGTTTTGTAGAGCTTGAATTTCTGAAAATAGTTTCAAAGTAATAAATACCTAGCATTTTAACATTTAACCAATTAATATAGAAAATTTTGTCAAATTATGTTATTTAAAAAAAACATTCATTTTTTTTTGTGAGGGGAATCATCAAATCTCTAATCAAATTACTTTTGTCACCCAGTGTAAGGCAAGAGAAAGTGCGAGACTCCTAGCGACTAAAAACCCCCCCTATCCTTGTCCTGCTCTAACCCAAGGCCACGGTACTTTACGCTTGCCCCGCAACCCCTGAAAAAATCATTCCTAAGTTATTGAAGACAAGATCCACTTTTATTTGTTACCTTTCTTACCTGTATGTAAAGCAAGTCTCGCCAGGGTGTTGATCCTCATCACCACAGTCTCCGATCTTCCTCTAGCGTTCGCAGCGAAGAATACCAGTCGTAAACTCTTCCCTGATCCAAGGCCACGGAGTATCCACGCTGGTTGCGCGGTCGAGACATTTGCTACTAAATTCTTTGACTCCCACACTTCCACGAAGTATGACGTCTGAAGACCCCCGTCATAACCTGGAAAAATTTTCTTTTTAGGACGCTTTCGTTTATAATTCTTCTTACGACTATTATAAAGCTGGTTAGTTGCAATGGTACATGTGTGGCTTATTGACTCTTAGAAATCTTTTTGTCAAATTAAAAGTTTTGATTTCTATAGTTTGTTAATAAAAAAAAATATATTAAATAAGAAAGACGGCAGATTTAGAAAAAAAAATACGATAACAAACTATATACTTTGCCTAAAAATTGTTTAAATTGAATAGATTTTGCTGTAAAAATTAAGCAAGAATTAAATTCGAGTCATGTATATAGATCACGGATCGTTATAATCCGCTTTTAAATTTACTTTTTGTATCAAAATTGGAATGAATGTTTCATAACCTTATCAAGTATAAGTAACTACTACTTCTTCTTCTTCTATATTTACTTGTTGTCAGATTACTTTCCCTTTTTCTAACTACAACAATTTTCGGAGTTTTAACTCTCGTGACACATAAATAATTAATTATTATGTGTTATTACAAATTAATCACGTACTCGTTTGGTTTCGTCAACTCGACGTTGACTCATGAATATGAGACTCTGTCATGGGTTGAAACTATCCGAGTACATTGTCAAAAAGTTATGTGAGCAGTGATTATTAAATAGAACACAATCTGTTTCTATTACTCAAATGAACCAAATTTATTTGGACTAGTTTTCAAATTTCATCACGTATTTCTCTGTTCTGAACGATCTTTTGTTGTTATTTTGTGTCCAAGAAAATCAAGAAAATAAAAACAATGAGGTCGTTATTCCATTATTACGTTTGTAAAGAAAATCGTAACGAAGTCACAACAAGGTTGGGAATGAAGAGAAAACAACTCAGACGTATTTTTTGGTTCAGGTGATTGAGATAACTTGATTTCCTCCTCCATTAAATCTTTGAGAGAAATGGAAACAAAAAGATGTAATTTTAAAAAAAAAGCCAATCTGATAATTGATTTTAGAATGCATTTGTAAGTGTGGGAGAGCCATGCTTCGGCACAAATGGGTCGGCTCGACCGGAGTGATACCACGGCCTCACAGAAAACCGGCGTGTAACAACCACAGCGTTGTGTTTCGCCGTGTGAGCGAGGTTACCGGAGGCCCAATCCTTCCCCTCCCCCAATCTTTTCTGAATCCCTAAATCTCCAAATCCCTAATCTCTAAAAGGTCGGCAACGCACTCGTAACTCCTCCGTTGCGGGTGTCCATGGGCGGCGCTGATTGCTTACCATCAGGTAATCCGTCTGCTCGTATGCCGACCTATCACACAAAAAAAATGTAGTTTCATTAACAGGGAAAGGAATATTTATTATATTACAAAATTCATTTAACATCGTCCCTATTAAAAAAGGTGTCATACATGTATGTATGACACCAACGTTAGTTATCATTTTGATTTTAGTAATTACCTCTGCTGCTCAAACTCTTAGGCTGTAGCTAGTAATATATATTTATAACTAAGTTGATCCAAGAAAACACAAATACAAAATAAATATCAACTCACACACAGACTCAACTTTTACGCTAGCATAATACTAAGCAAAGGTTGATTCTAACTCCATCATCAAAAATACTAGTCAGTATTAGTCATATTTACTTACCAGCGATACATCTAATTTCTGCTGAATCATCAGTAAGATTGACAGCAGAACAGTTGGCTAGTGGATCTGGTCTGACTGCTGGCAGCAAGGAGTATCGACATGGTTCCACCTGTTGACCAGCAAGGTTGGTAGCCCTGCACGCCAAAGAACCATAGTCTTTCTCCGAAGATGGAGTGTAGAAGAGAACTGATCTCCCAACTCCATTTAGGATGTATTTCTCCTGTGTAAGAAAAATAAACAAATAAGCATATGAATAATGTTTTTTACTTTGTAGCCTGAATGAATCCGTCTTTTCTTTTTAATGTGATGATTAAAATAATATTTTCCTACAGCCAAAATCTAAATAAGCAAATTAAATAATTCATTTTGTTTACGAAATTAACGAGAGCATGTAAGCAATTATTCAAAAAGCAATACACACAGTTATTTATAAAAATGTAAATGTAATAAAAATGGCGTCGAAATCGAAATTATAAGTTGCTAACACATGAATTTGTTTAACTCCCATGGGGTCACTTATGGCCCGTCCTGTAATCCCGCAAAAAAGGCGAGAGTCGTCAAAATTGTAGGAAAAAAATATTTTCATAAAACAAAGGATTATTCATGACGAGCGCTGTTCGCATGTCCATAAAAGAGAATGACAAGCCCCTTGTATGTATGTGTGTATGTATTTATAAAAGGGATACTTGTAACGACATAACAGCGGGGGAATAAATATTGTTTTGTACCATCCTATATATATGTATAGCTTAGTTATATTGATAGATTTTTTTCCTACGTTTTGTAAGATTTGGTTTAGCCTCGAGCTTATTTTCTTTGTTATAAATAACGCCTGTGTTATGATGTTTTCCTCTTTATTTTCGTATTTTGTTAGATCTTATTCAGTTTGCACCGTATTATCATAGCTTCGGGAGCAACGTATTTTGTACTTGACTGAAAAAAAACACGATATCATTTCAAAGTGGTCGGATGTTTTTGTAAGGTCAGAATCCTCAAAATGACTTCTCTGGTCTAAGGTGAGGCGAGAGGAAGTGTCAGACTCTTACTGTCTAAAAACCTTCCGTTTCTTCTCCTACTCTAGAACGAAGCCGCGGTACCTCATTGCGCTTGTAACGAAACCCCGGCTAAACATCAGTAGTCGACTTCAGAAATAAATCAGGATCAGGCTCATTGAATACATGCACTTCATTAAGAAGCAGTCCAGGACTAAGTCAGCACTAAACTAACCCCACTATTATAACAAACGGACCAAGTTTCCCACATTACAATTCCGTTTCGTAGTCAAAACTCCAACTATAAAACGTTTACATAATTTTCAGCAACGAAACATGAATTATTCCGTTTAGCGTACAATGCATTTATGTTCATAAAGTTTTGTACTCACCGGTTCAATTTCAGAAGTTCCCATGGAATTATTGAGGGTCCACTGGAAGTTCTTGGGAGGAGGGAAGGCGTCCACTTCGCACGTTACTTTGGTCGGTTCATTGATCGCGGCGCCCACTATTGCTATCGACGTTGCTAGACACACCGGCTTATCTGTAAAGAAGACTTTGTTATTGTTTCGCTCAAGGAAGATATAATTTAAGAAAACAAAAGAACTCAATGGCCGATGAAGATTTGATTTTCACACAGTTTATTATTCTATGATCGTCTCTTATTTTTAAAAATATTAAATATGTATAAGTATATTTATTTGCGTACCATAATGTTTAACCAAGTGTTACAGAATTAAAAGCTAGGATACAATTAGGATCTTGAAAAAACGTCAACCTTTTGGGAAAAAAACTTATTTGTTTATTTTCAAAAATATTATATATACAATATTCTCAATATGACTTTCGAGTTCCGAAAACATAATAATTTTAAATAATTCGTCAAATATCTATAGAACACAAACTATTAATAATGGTTTCGGTAATAAAAGTAAGCGTGTAAAAAAATAAACGTTCATAATACCAAAATACTAAACCTATAATTAAATTATATACTAAGCCACAATCAATCATACACACTGATAGCTATAGCCGACGGTGGCCACTCAATCATTCGATTTAGCCACTAGTTGCAGGTGACTAATATATGCACTCCATCACATTTAGGTCCTGGTAATCTAGTATCTAGCGATCAAAGCCTATCATCGGCCTATCATTCATTCTAAGTCATTACTCACAGTTAGCACTGATGGTTGATTTTTGGTCAACCAACCACGAGTAGCCTTTTTGATTGATCGTCTAAAATATGAAAAGTTAAATTGGATTTTAGCGTAAATTATATTTTTTGTTCGATGGATGGTTTTTATAAAGTTGTTTTGTTTATATTTTCGATGAATATGTACAGTATGCGTTTTTGTTATGTTTACATTTTTAGTTAAAGCCTTCACGAGCTAGACGTAGGTAAATTAAAACATATAGTTTTCAAACATATTTTAGTTAAAACCTGTTGTTGAACACTGACTTTGCAAACTATTATTTATAAGAAAGAATATTATGGACTTTATTTAGATGTTAATAACAATTAGAAAACTTTTTTATGTTTAATTCCATATAAAAAAACGCCGTAAAAGGCGGACAGGCTTCTAAGAAAGATTATTAGAGATCTCAAAGTCATTATTTTAATTTGAAAGTATCACTACATGATAGCGTAAATGAGGAAGAACTTTGTAAAAAGCTGACTAACCCGGCTTCACCATTTTACTTCGAAGGCAAACAAACAAACAAAAAAGATGCTTTGAATTTATTCCCTAGTAGAGATAGAGACAGGCTAGTCAGAGTTTGAGTTCCAAACTAAATACCAAAGGCTAACAACGTTTTTATTTTTGTTTAAAATATAGTCGTTATGGGATCAGCATTTTTATTTTTTTGGCACAAAGTTTTCAATCTGTGTTTGACTGTACAAGTAGTTGGTTGGATTTTTCTATTGTTTTGGTTCGAAATAAAATATCCTGTGCTTGCGATTTGTATTTTTATTTTCTAAGTTCTCGTCATTTTTGTGTTGTTTTTGTCTGCATTCCATTTTCAATTTGTAAGTTTGGAAGAGAAACAAATGAGGTTGTATGTGCTGGCTGAAAAACTATGTATATTTCTTATTTTTAATTTATCTATCTTTGTTGTGGAATAGTTTGGCAGACGAGCTGGTGGTTTACTTGATGGTAAGCAATCGGCGCTAATGGACACTTATAACAACAAAGAAGTTTACTGCAGTGCGATGAAGAATTTTTGTAGTTAATTATTGATTTGGGGATTGGAGATGAGGAAGGAAAAGGTTGCGCCCCCCTTAACCACACTTACACGGCAAAACACCACATAAGTATTGTTTCACCTCGGTATTCTACGAGGTTGTGGATCTCCAATCGAGCCGTCCATTTGAGCTGAAGTATGGCTATCACATATTTAACAATTCGTTTAAGTAAGAAATTTGTTCTGGTAATAAAAACAAAAAAAAACAAAAATCGTTAAGTTTGAGCGTTTTTTTTTAATATTTAGTACTTTGCACTCTTTTGCAAGGCTTTAAGGGTTATTTCATAAAAAAAGATTAATACATTCTCGAGTTGGATAGTCAGAATACAATATCGATTATTTTGTACCCAATAATTATGGAGAAATCATTTTCTTTACTACTATATTATTAAAAGCTAAAAACGTCTTCGTTCGTGACCTCAACCTTGATTTCGTAAATTCAATAATTTAAGTTTTACAACTTGAAAATGGTCTATTTTGTCAATAATGACACTAAATAAGCAGTTTAAAGGTTATATTACTATTTGAACTCTTTAGTAGAAATTTATTTTACTCAAAGTAATCTTATTCTAGACGTAAATAGTCTTCGTCGTAATATTGAATTTGTATTTACTATTTTTAGTACCTACATAATTAAATAGGTAGATCAAGTTATTGAATAGATTCAGAATTATGTAACTTTATATACCGATACTTATTTCTGCTTCAATCTCTGCTTTTCAAAAATCTTATCTTACTAATATTATAAATGCGAAAGTTACGATGTTTGGATGTTTGTTACTCAATCACGCCAAAACAGCTGGACGGATCTGGATGAAATTTGACACAGGCATTGGATACACTCCGGAATAGGACATAGGGTACATACCACAAAATTATGATATCAAAGAAATGGTTGAGAAATCATTAGAGAATGCCCAAATTCAGTAGCTGATATTTCGTGGTTAATGGAATGGATGGGATTGGAATGTTGGAGACGGTTTGTTAATGTCATGTGTGAGTGCAGCAAATAAACAGGATGCTTGATGATAAGATATCGCCACCGCTCATGGTCATGGACACTCGCAAAATCAGAAGAGTTACGAGAGCGTTATCGGCCTTTTGGGGTTAAGAGTTTCGGAGATTTAGTGATTGGGGAAGGGGAATGTGGATTGGTCTTCTGGTAATCTCACTCAATTGGTGAAACAACGCTGTAGTTGTTTCATACCGGTTTTTTTGTGAGGCCGGGTTGAGTCGACCATTTATATAAAGCACTTTTCTTACCAAGTAAATAAAGTCTCCTATTATATAGTCTCCTATACTTGGTAAGGAAAGAATTGATTTTCAGAAATGTAAGGTTCCATCATAATAATTCCTCCCACTATGAACTACCCTTTACTAAGTTTAATGGAAAGGAAAACACAATAACAGCTTCAATTTGCCCAATGGTACATTTGTAGTGTTCTATAGAGTTCAGAATCCGTTTGAATCATAAACAGGGGCCTACAAAGCTTTGCATATAAAATCAAATCAATCCGGCGTTATTCAATGATTTTGCAAGTTATGCTTTACACTTTAGGTGCAAATTGAATTGGCTTTGCCGATGATGTGTGAAGTTACATGGCGGATTGATATATTACTTGTTACAATGCAAATAGTGCGGTGTTGGTAGGTTAAGATGGTCGTTTGTTATTTGGTGCCAATTGTAGTAGACTGCCTCTAGATCAAAATAAATGTGGTCACTATAAAATTAAAGAATTTAAGTAGGTACTTTTCTATTACACAATATTGTCGTAAGAAGAAAAGAAAAACGATGGATAAAAAATTGATGGAAAAATGGATGATATCGACAGGGATTACCATGACATAAAAAAACAGAATGAAACAATAACAGCGTTGTGTTTCACCGTGTAAGTGATGTTACTGGAGACCCAATCTTTTCCCTACCCCTGCCCAATCCCTAAACATACAAAACCCTAATCTCTAAAATGCCGGAAATCACCGATTGCTTACCATCCGGTATTTTGTTGATTCGTTTGCCAATTAATGCTATCCCATAAGAATGAATGTTATTTCCTTCAATTGACGCAAAACTTAATTCCTGTTTGCTTTTAACACTAAAAACTAAATATTCAATAGAAATGAAACAAACAATGCTGGCCTTTATCCGGTCTGGTCATCAAAAATGCATATCACGTGCTTGAAACCAACCAGCTATTATTTAGATCGAAAAATAAACAAAATGCGTATTATTTCCTGAATGAGTGTATCGGTAGGATTGGTAGTACCTTAAAACAGCATTATAATGACTTAATTTGATAGAGAAAATCATTTAATTGCTTCTTCTAAGGCGCGGAGTAGTGTCAGACCTTCACTGACTAAAAACCATACTACTTACTTCTACAACTATTTGTTTCAGTGTGGTGCAAAAGTGCATCATCAGCCTCATCAAGTGCCCACTGCTGATCAAAGAAATCTCTTCACATCTAAAAGGTTTGAGCATTAATCACCACGCTTGTTCAAGGCGGACTAGCGATTTCAAACTTATAATTAGAAATTATACATCTGGGTTTCCTCACGATTTCTTCCTTCAGCGTATGTCAGTTGTGTCTAACTAATCATAGAAAGTACACATAACTCGAAAAAAGTCACATTGGTACTAGCCAGGTTAACCTCCTGGCAACCACGACCGTTGCACAAGTTGGATATCTTAAAGTTGTCCAAACGTCTGTGATATACATATTATCAAGCGTTCTGTCAACGCAAATACTTACAAAACAAACCAATCAAAACAAAGCTATACATGTCAAAAATTCGCAAAAATCGTTTTTTAAACATGCGAATAAAAATCAACGCTTAATTCATGACTGTCAATATCTGAAACATAAATGGAATGGGTCTTCCCGTGATATACGGCTGACTGTTGCCAATAAACTGCGTATCATTGATTGCCAAATGTAATATACACATATTTATTGTTATGCATTAAGAATAACGCACAATATATGATCAATAACTCGTGTTCAAGCCCACGGGATTTATTTTTGAGAGCTGTATTCATTGCGATTTAAAAGGTTATAGATATATTTTTTTTGGTACGCCAATTATTTGGTTTTTATTGCAGTTGTTTTTAAATAAACAAAGGTACTGTGGCTGTGGTGACTTATATTATTGCTGAAAACAACAAAAGATTATTGTGTTAATGTTTTTTTTTATTGCGGGATGTTGTATGCATTTTAATGGACGGCCAAAGATACCGAGACTCCTTTAAAATCGCCTCTATACATCAATGAATACAAATCGTTACAAAATTTTATTAAACAAATTATATACTTATTGAGTTCGAGAAGACTATGTGCTTACGTTTTTAGGAAAACGCTAGTGCAGAAAAAAATACCGCTATTCCATTCCCCAAACTTCATATTACCGCATGTTATTGTATTTCATACAATATTTCAATATTTACGCTCAATCTAGTTTGAAGAGGGTCATATTTTTCATAGGCTGTCGCTTCGCTGTCATGTCTTCAGGTACGCCGTTCTTTGGGCAAGGCAAAGGGGTCATCCTATTGACACTCGAGGCAATGATGACGGCTGAACAGCTCTACAGGTGGTTTACAATAATGACAAACCATTTTTGGTTCTCGCCCCTTTTTAGTGAGCATTTGAGGGCAATGAATCGCGAAATTTGACGCAACAATGGGCGATTTAGGATATCGTTGCCTAAATAAAAGTATAAATAATTTTGTTTCAGGGAATAATATGAGTTAAGTTTTTACAGGAATAATATAATTTGCTTCCTTAAAGGCTTTTTTTGAGTGTAATAATGAAAATGAATAATTATCAAAATATGGCTTTTCTCGCGTTGGTTGAAGTGAGAGGTAGTGGAGTCTGAACTCCTACTGATTAAAATCCACCCCTCCTATATTGGGGCTGCACCTGCATGTGCCAATTTTTTCATGAAAGAGACAAATATGCATTTCTTTTTAAATAGGGAACAAATAGGATTGTAGTAGTATAATGTCGATTGATCAGTAATTGATTGCAAGAAGTAAGCTTTGGTCATGAACACTCGCAAATTTAAAAAAATATAATCGCATCGGTCCTTTTAAAATGAGTATAGGCTACCCGTTTTGATACTAAAGATCTACTCATTGACTACTAGAAAAAAATCAAAACACTAAAATATATAGCTTAAACAGGCAACGCCTAACTTGTAACTCAAAATAAAATATAATTATAGCGAAGAAATGTAATTTACGACCTACAAAAAGGTACGAAAATATTATATTGGAAAGGTCAGACCAATCACTCATTGTTAAGAAATAATGTAGGTTCGAAGTAGCGAAGTAAAAATTTTCCTATTCGAGTAATTAGAGAATTTGTATAAAAATAATTTTGGATTATTTTCATTATAAGTGTGGGAGAGCCATGCTTCGGCACGAATGGGATACCACGGCCTCACAGAAAACCGGTGTGAAACAACCACAGCGTTGTGTTTCGCCGTGTGAGTGAGGTTACCGGAGGCCCAATCCTTCCCCTCCCCCGATCCCTCCCCAATCCCTTAATCTCCAAAACCCTAATCCCTAAGAGGTCGGTAACGCACTCGTAACTCCTCCGTTGCGGATGTCCATGGGCGGCGCTGATTGCTTACCATCAGGTAATCCGTCAGCTCGTTTGCCGATCTATTACATAAAAAAAAAATTCATTGTATAGTATGTTGTATAAATCAACATCAGCAGTTTTTCACTACCTAGTAGTAAAATAAATAAATTAAAAAAATATCACCCTCTATTCTCAAAATTATTGGTAATAAATTAACCAAACTAATTTCTCCCAATCACTTCATCAAAATGAATCTCCACTAAATAACGAACCTAACACAACAGAAATAAGATTGAAAATTAATCAACACGGTATTTGTCAAATATTTAACCGTTTTACCGTTGGTGTGTGTGTAAATATGTTATGAATGTTAAAAATTTAATCAATGGGTGTGACTCGACCATGTCATTGCGGTTAGCGGTTAAACCCGTACGTGGTTAAAACTATTTATTAACAAAGTGAATTGGGCGGTGATGTATGTCTGCGGCTGATATTTGAATTCGATTTAATTCCAGTGTTTTAATGTAGTTAGATTTTAAATAGGATAATTCTGTTTAAATACCTATAATGTGTCAATATTCATAATTTTTCGTTTTTCAGTTTTTTTTTGTAAAATTTATAATAATTTTATCTTGTTGTCTTGTCTGTGAACATACAAATGCCAAAGATCTTTTTCTTCTTCTGATTCTTCTTCTTAGGTATCTACAATTTGGAACGAGCAAACAGCTTCCCTAAAGGACAGACTGACACACAAAGTTAAAGTTTTTGATATTTATATCTTCTTGACGTTCATAATATGACGTTGACAGTAGTGGTTTATTTGAAATACATAATTTGATTTTGACTTCAATGTTTTAACCCTAAGAATTTTATCCGTCATTTTTTTTCACGTGTAATTATTGCTACTTAATTACTATGTTTTATGAATGTCTTGTCTGAAATAAAGTAGAAAGAAAAAAATACTTACAAATTACTTGAAGTTTTACAGGTTGGGATTTTCCATCTCCTTCTACATTTGATGCTGTGCAGGCGTAGTTTCCTGCTTGACTTCTGTTTACTCCTTGCAGTGCTAAGTTTGCTGAGCCAGCAATCACCCCAGCTCTTTGATTATGCGTCATTATTTGACCCTGAAAAGATCACTTGGTTAATACGATCAAGGTTTTGTTCTCTCTTGATTGTTTAAGGCGAAAAGTTTGGATATGTTATCGAAACTTTTCGCCTTTTCTTTTTTTTTCGGGTTTTTAAATTTAGAATCGAGACTGCTTAAATGAAAACTTTATTGTTAACTGCCTAAGAATATATTTTTTTTTAATTGTTGGTAATGAATATCTAACAGAGTACTGTGTATATAATTATATTATAAGCAGATTAAAATATAATAATATTATGTTTCATGATCAAATGGATGCTAAGTAGTTTTTCTGAAAGTTTATATATAATATTCGGTGCCCGAACTAAGTCCCCTGTGTTCAGGGCGAAATATAGCAACAACTCAATTGTAACTTCAAAAATATATAATTTTAATACACATCATCCTCAATTATACAGCTAAAGCTACTTACTCACTCCCAAAATAACCTCAATTACTCATGTAAATTTATAAATAAATTAAATCCCTGAACTTAATTGCAACTGATATGTTAATTAGTATTACATTATACGAGAGTGCGAAAGTTTTTAAAACTTTTAAAAGCCGCTATCATTAAAGTATGTAAGAAAATCAAAATTGTTACGTCGACGCGTGTACCTACAATATATGGAAACTTTTCGATACGACGCGAAGTAAGTTTGTCTTGGGAACCCGGAGGGAAGAGGGAATCGGAAGTTTGTGACTAACAAACTTCACAACATATTAATTATCGTGTAATTTCACAATAGATATTTTCTTTCATAGTACTTAATAAATTTCGAGGAAGTATCAGTTTCAGTTTTCTTTACTTTTCTTCTATCAAGCTTTGGTAACTTTTGATACAATTATTTGTATCACTGTCGTGCTGTTTTAATCTACCTGATTACTTTAAACTTTTTTATACATTGACCTCTTATTCCTTAGATTCCTCAGTAGATTACTAAGGCGACAGTCTTAAATTTAATAGTTAACTTAAGCCCAATATTTTTCCTTTTAAGCGGCGCGTTGCGCGGTTCATCATACGTTGCTTATAATGTTCAATATGTCTGTATTTGCGTGTGCAATGACGCAAACTGAAAGAACAATGCACCGTGGTTGTATATATCTAATACATTACAGTCATAATGTACCTATTTTTTATGAACCTACATAAATGTTGTACATGAGCAACAAAGAATAAATTTAAAATCAGACAAGAATAAATTAATCTCATAATATATATCTTTTTTTGTATGTAATTAAAAGCCATTGAGATGACAGTCATCTGTTAGGAAGTGATCAGCGACACTCAAGGAGCACAGATATATCACAAGTCTGTTACTTGCGTTTTGAAATAAAGAGTTTATATTATGCTTCAAGTTTTGAAGGTCGTATTAGTGCGAAAATATCTTCATAATACCATACTAGACAAGTAACTTCGTTACAATATAAAAAATAACAACCGAATCATTATTTAATAACTTTCCTGGTATACAAAGACAAAGATCGGAATTCAATATAGAGGTAGTGTGTGTAACCACACATTCCGCCACGTCACAGGTGTGACAATTTGATTGATCCAATCAAACTCTGCGATTAAGTACATTGTTGTTTTATTGGCGGATTGCCAGTTGTGCCACGAAATAGATTGTTATTATTTTTAGTCTATACTGTTTTGTGTTCACAGCGTGTAACAAAGAGGTTTTTCAATTCCAAATTTCAAGTAAAAAATCGTGGAAACTACGGAACTTATATTATTGAAATTTGAGGCTGATATGCAACATATCAAAGTTATTACAAAATAATTAAGTACATTTTCGAACTTCCAGGTATTGAAAAATTTGCTCTGAAAGAAAATTAAATTGATTGCGTCGTTTTAAAGTCTTTTTCGTAAAAGTATATGAATTTTAAACAATGATATGTTTCGAGTTTCATTAAAAAAATCATAATTCTGGTTTTCCAAGCTCGTATGAAATCCTGAGTTGTGCACTCGCTTTTATATGGCAATAGGAAATGAAACGGAATATTGATTACTTTATGATATAAAAAGTCGCAACTAAGTTTAAAAATAGATAATGTATAATTCAAAAAGGCTGCTTCCAAAAAAATAAAATTAAAAAAACCCTGTGCAGAGAGAGACCTACATTATAAAATTACACTTTAGATACATTATACTTTACATTACAATCAATTGAACTATAAGCTACTGAATAAAATTGTAACTAAATAAAGTGATGTGCAATTGATGGGGCCTATGTCCAGCAGTAACTGTAGACAAGACAGGCTGGTGATGATGACGGAATAAAATTACATATGTAAGAGTATATTATTTACTTACATTATGTTCCCAAACGACTTTATAAGCCGGTGGGTTTGACCGCACTATGCACTCGAAGTACACGTCATCGCCTTCCTCAATGTCGTTAGGGTTCATTTTAGAACCAAGCTCCAATGTAACTATTGGGACGTCTGTGAAAAAATTTACTTTATTAAAATATAACATAGAAATCGTTTTACATTTTACAAGCGTAATGGACTCTTAAATATAGTTTGTAATTATGAAAATATGGCAAATATCAGTAATAAAAAAATTAAAGGTTATTTTCGGTTATTTCTTTTTTTCATAATTTTATTCCTTATATCTTATTATAATCGTTTATCTTAGGGATGATTTTGAAAAGTTATCTGGGGAATAAATATGATATTGTCACGTTAGAATGTTTGTATAAGACAGTGACAACAACATTTTTTTTCCTCTGATAACATTTTATCTGACTATTGAGAAATCAGCAATTAGAGGTATATATTTTCTTTATATTCTTTTAGATGAATAACAACTTATTTAATGATAAAAGTATTCTAGTTTTTTGTTTGACGTTCAAAAGTGCCTGTAAGGGTCTAATTAGAATAAAAGATTTTTAACTTGACTTTTATAAAATGACATACATGATTAAATGAAAAAAAAAACTATTTTAGACCTAAACTGGCTACAAAACAGCTCAATATTTTCATATTTATAATTTTAATATTAGCAAGTGTCGTTCCTCTTTTGAATTGACTGTTCAATAATTATTTCATTCTCTCAATTTCATGCCTGCGTCCAATACAGACTAAAAATAAAAATGTCAGTCGCAGGTTTTATTAGTTTTAGTAATGTTTTGGGTAGTGGAAATTGGTAACCCAAATCCAAATAGAATAAATGATAGTTCGATTTGTACAGAGAATAATTAGTTTTATTAAAACATAGACGTGTGTCAGTTAGCTTTGAACTAAAAAAAATATATATATTTTTTGTTTTTAAATATGTACTGGAAAATCAGTTGAGCTATTCGATATTTGAAAATTTGAACTGATGGACATTTTGTAATTAAATGGAATAAAATATCCTCCATATGCCACCACTGACATCTAAATGAAATATCACATATTTATGAGCTTTGTAAGGAAAAATTAACTTACAATGTAAATTGAGTGTAATACTGGTCTCTATAGTTGTATGTTCTAACTTGACATGTGCCGCTCGGCACGTCAGCGTTCGACCATCTTGATCCATGCGAGGCGTCCACCGGAGAAACGATATCGTCTCGTTTTTGTCGTCAGAATTCTGCGTGATATAACCATTGATGTATTATGTCTGTCACACTGATCTATCGTAAAGAATGATAAGAAATATATAAATACTTTTACAAATATTAACTTATATTTTTATATAGAAATTGTCCGTCGTATTCAATTTATTTGGTAATGTTAATCATGGTCACGTAAGTGTTTAAAGTTGCTCAACTAGTTTCAAACTACGAAGGAGGGCCGCGAACCCTGATTTGGTCTGAAAATAGTCGGATCACCTCGAAATGTGCGATAAGTTTATTTTAACGATCCATTTACAGTATAATCAATCCAATTTTAATTTATTTATTCTTGTATGCCATTTTCTTCTTACCTTCTGTATTGCCGCTACAGACATCTGCCGGTCATCCATCCACCAGGTGATGATAGCTGGTGGTCGAGCTCCAACGGCCTTGCAAGCCAGCTCTGCTGCTTGGCCCACGGATAACGGCTGTTCCCGGGCCAAGATTTCCACAAACAGAGGTCGTACTGCATACAAAATTTAAAGGTTAGAACGTCTTTTTAGGAATTATTTGATGGAAGATTTGTTTTTTCTGTTCTAGATAATACAAGGATTGATTCCGTGAGGGGATTAAAACTATGACACGTTGGGCTACATTCAGTTTTTTATGGCCTTGATCAGCAAATGATCCCTAATACCAAAGGAGTTATTTACTACAAGTGATTTATTCGGGATTTGCGCTTCTAGTAACCTCATCCATCAGGTGACTTTTCAAGTTTAATGAACCAAAAGTTAATGAACAAGATTGTTCTACTGACAGTGAGACGATAAAAAAATGAAAGTAAACAGTGACCTCATTCCTATTCATTGCGTTATTAATTAGTTGTCTACGCAAAGAGGACGAGTACTGACCCTATATTTATTACTTTGAAGTTTCATAATATACTCGTATTTATTATTAATTAAAATATCTAGGTCACAAATTAATAGGTAGTCTACGCAAATACTAATATAGTAATAAGCACTTATAAATTTAAGTATTCCTTTGGAATATAAACGTTGCCCTAAACTAGAGTTTTTTCATGTATCGTGAGTGAGTTTACAAACATACAAATTCACATATACAAGCCCACAATTTGTAAATCACACAGTCCGTTGTTTCGTGCGGGACTCAAACCTGTAATACGTTGCTAGTTGTCCAGCCACTTCACCAACCGCACAGTCAATAACTTAAGTAGGTATATAGTAATTTATATACAAATATTACCTTAGGGTATATACATATGTAGAAAAGCCAAAGCTATACAAAAAAATCAATTTTATTTTTATATAATTATCTTTAAAATTTTCACGGAACATTCAACAGGAAAAATATCAACACTTGCGTATTTCGGAATGATTTTGGAAAAAAATCAAAACGCTGTTAAAAATATTTTATTCACAAAAAAATTGACAGTGAAGTGACAAACGCGTACCCTTATCATCATTAGGGAAGCGTTTGTACGGACTTTTGTTATATGACAGCCAGGCTAACCAGTTACTTAATGGTATGACTATTTCAAAGCTACCACGTATACAATTTTAGGTTATATGGTGAATATATAGTGTTCCAGTACCATTATAATAATGTTTAAAGGAGTAAGTGAAGTTGTAAAGATTTTTAGGAGTTTTTAAATGCAAAGTTTAGTCGTAAATTTCAGACTTCTGTGAGTGCGTTTCTGAAGATTTCAATCGATGTTGATTCAAAAATGCTTTCCTAATCCGAGAGTTGGATTTGAGCCTTCGTCATAATTACTTTTCTAAAACAATAGGCAGTTTCGAATAAAATAAAAACTCGAAATATTGAAAATGGAATAGCTAATGTTTCGAATAAAAAACCGACACGTTACACAGGTTATACTAAAGCAAAATGTTTTTGAAAAAAAAAAATACGAACGTACGGTAATGGACTATCCATTAAAGTTGATCTGTAATTCAATGTTTGCAACGTTTTAAGCTGGGCTTATTTTTATTGGAAATTTGTTGCTTCAAGCGCCTACCCGGTACAGTATGAGAAATTGTGCGAACCGTTAAAAACAACGGTAATCCATCAATGCGGATGAGAGCGTACCCTAAAAAATACTCACTTAAACCCGACCATTTGCTTCTCAACGTAAAAGTAAGCTTTACTTACTTATTACCGTCAAATTAAAATTGAACTAACGACAGAATTAGATTCATAAATCCATCGCAACGAATTAAATTGAAGCAATCCGAACAATGGGAACTAAAACGCTAATGGCGTCCATTAACGGCATGGGTAGTTGAAAAAGTGTTAAAAACAAAAATAAGATCGTTCACTAAAAGCTTTGTTGGAAAAAGGTGAGCTAAACGTGCATTACTGAACGAATGACATCATGGGTTATTATAATGGAGAATAATTTCCTGTGCGGCGACGTGGCGATGTCGTCACGACAGGACAATGCTACACAAATAAAAACTAATGGCCCTTAGGGGTGAGCGGTGACAAAAGAATCCTGTCTACCAACGAACCGTCATATTCCGAGATAATCCAGGAGACTAGCTCGGTTGATATAGGTTAATCGCACGGATTTACGTGGATTCAGTCTTGCAATAACAGAAAATGAACGTTTGTCCCCGTGTAATGCGGATGTTATGAAAGTTTCCAACTATTTTGCGGCATCCAATGTTATTTTTCCTTGCTCGAGGCAGATTGGGTAACAACTGAGAAAGGGTAGCACTAGATTTGATTAAATAAACTGTCCTTATATCTTTTATAGTGGCGTTTATTTTCTTTGAGAATATAAAAATATTTCTGCGGTAAAGGTTGCTGTGTTGGGGGAAACCCGCCGCTATTTTTATGTAAAATTGAGTATAAAAAGTAGTGTTAACGTTATTTTATTTCCCTAAAACGTATATTGTATTGCAATACGATTTATTTTGGATACATAAACAAAGCATCACTTAAAGAGCACAGGCAGAAATAAATTGCATAACACGGAATTTAATTTAAATACGGATAATGGACGAGTTAATGCTAATCAAGAAGTTGCCCAAGAATTCGAATTTTTTTTCAAGAATATCCCCATTAAAACTACGAAAGACTTAGAATCATCTCCGGCACTTTCTATTAGTCTTCTTAAAAGAAATGTTAAAGAATGCCGTTCTGGCTTCCGATTTCAGTACACGGACCCGCAATCAGTAATAAAGGCGTTTAAAGACATAAAAGTTAAGTCTACAGAGGATCTATGGGGAATGTCTGTTGTGGTGTGTAGGTCTTTTATAGAAGCTATAGCGCCTTACTTAGCTGTAATTTTTAATAAAAGTGTAGATCAGGGTGTTTTTCCAAATTTGATGAAACTTAGCAAGGTAGTTCCGTTGTTTAAATCTGGCGATGACAATGATCCCAATAATTATAGGCCGGTATCAATTTTACCAGTGCTTAGTAAAGTGTTTGAAAAGCTAATGCTTTCTCAGATGCTACGACACTTTAACATAAATTCCATCTTTCATGACCAACAATATGGGTTTACCAAGGGTCGATGCACAACTGACGCCGGTGTAGCTCTACTTAAGCATGTTTTTGCCTCATGGGAAAAGTCAAACGACGCTATTGGGATTTTTTGTGACCTGTCTAAAGCTTTTGATTGCGTTGAACACACGACACTGTTGCTGAAGTTGGAACACTATGGCATTCGAGGGGTATCTCTCAATTTATTAAAATCATACCTGCAGGATAGGCAGTTCAAAGTACAAGTAAATAAAGTGAACTCCCAGGGTACTAGCATATCTATGGGCGTACCACAGGGCTCAATATTAGGTCCTTTCCTGTTTTTAGTGTACATAAATGATTTACCTCATTTATTTCAACGTGAACCGGGAATGGTATTATTTGCTGATGACACATCGTTGATTTTTAAAATAAATAGACGGACAGATAATTATGACGACGTAAATAATGCTATAACGAAGGTTCATAATTGGTTTACAATTAATAATTTAGTCCTAAACGACAAAAAGACTAAATGTATACGATTCAGTTTGCCAAATGTTAAAAGTACCGAATGTGACATATTATTAAACGGTAATAAATTGGAATTTGTAAAACAAACTACTTTTCTGGGTATAACCATAGATGACAAACTACAAGGTGTAGGTCTATCTGACACTAAGGTGTCAGATAGACATAATTATCAAACTAGACATAGAGATAGATTATGTCAGCCATTATTTAGATTGGCAAAGGTACATAAGTCGTTCATGGGATTCTGTGTTAAATGTTATAACAAAATCCCAGGCGAAATACAACAATTAAATGAAAGAAATTTTAAATTATGTGTAAAGAAAACTTTATGTAGAAAAGCATACTACACACTGAATGATTACATTGTAGATAAAGATGCTTGGAGACATGCTGGTCCTGCTCCACAGGATAGCAAACGTACACCAAAATAAATAACGTTCCAATGGATTTTGCTTGAACGGGACTTCTTCATTTTAGTGAAATTGCATTATATTGTATAACTATAACTTGATAAATTTGTAAATGTGAGTGCCCTGTAACCTATTATAATTGGTTAGACTAGCAGAATGTCGGTCCTTATAACAGCTTGGAGTTGTCATGCTCACTGAAAGGTCACACTGGCGGTGGCATGGGCACTGGATCGCTTAATTCCCTATAATATGGTTGAGTTGGGCGATGCTGGTGTACGTGTCATGCTCGTGAACGAGCGCCGTCAGTTGGGACTGGTCAGCTCCAGACTGTCTATTGTCCTTAAGGTTACTTTATTTTTATATTTGAATAAATATTAGTGTTACACTGTTCTCATATAATTGAACCAACTGTTTGTAAAAGGAATCTGTATGTGAAACTGATTTAAAAAGAGTAACCATGGAGTTTCTTGCTCGTTCTTCTCCATCGGAATCTACACTTTGGAACGAGCAAATAGCTTCACTAAGAGGACTGACCGACAGACTGACACTATTTTTTTATTTCATATTTTGTTTGACGTTCAAAAGTGCCTGTAAAGGTCTAATTGGAATAAATGATTTTTGACTTTTTTTTGACTTTAGAGTTGAAACATCAGAATAAGTAAATGATAAAATGTTTTACACTGTGAATCTGTTATAAAAACCAATTATAAAGCAATTTTAAATATAATCAGGAAAACTAAACAAATCTGATGAAAAAGATTAAGACATTAAATTAGTACCTACTATGAATAGAATATAAAACCCCAACCAAATTAATGCAAGGTAAAGCAACTTTTTTTTCATAAAAGGACGCTTTATTTTCTCCCTCAACCAAAAGGCAAAATAACTTACTGCTACCGCAAATCTTAAGTCACGTATATCTTACTTTTTCGTGTAAATCTACGATGTTTACCCTCATATATTACTATCATATGTGAGATGACGTAGTGTGCTGTCAACGTTCATAATGTCCAAACGCATTTAGACAAATGACTGAATATTAGGCTCCGTTGCCGCGCACCGCCGCTTCTATAAATTGGAGACCTGTGTTACTTACTTATCTTTTTGTATATATATATGTATCTCTGAAGTTATGACTGGCTATATTTTTGCCAGGATAGTAGTAGTTTATTTTCTAGTTTAATTTCTAATAAAATAGTTTTCTAGTTAGATTTTCATTAAAACTTGCTTTATAAAGAAAACGTTACCCCATTCTATGATTTTCTCCTGTGTCGTGGGTGAATTTACAAACATACAATTTCACATACACTTGCCATTGCCAC